TGCTTTCTGTTTTGAAAAGAAATGTTGAGAGAGGCGATTTATGGCAGTGGCTAACATTTATAAAAATACAAAGAAAAATAATTGCTTTTGGGATGGTAATTGACCGGCAGCCGATTTTCCATTGAATTTCATCTACAGATAAATTTTAAGTAATTCAACAATATGTGATAAGTGTTTCAAGGATTAATTATCTCGCTCTGTGAAATTATCAATTCAGATTCATACCTTATTGTATATTTGCTAAGGTTTTATTATTTTCCTTGTGTTCTGACCATTGGTGCCTGGTATTATATTCCCATGGTGTAAGTAGGTCTGTCCTCTTATTATTTGTACAAAACTATGTTTCAGCTGCTTATGTCTTTTTAGGATTTAATATTACCCTTTTTAGAAAATGAAATATAAGTAAATAAAGAGAATAGACTGAATTTTTAGACAACATAACCAAAACGGCATTCTGGTCAGAGATAGGCTTCCTAATTGTAATGTATTTTGCATGAGACTGATGTTGAACATATATTACTAAATTAAAGATTTTACGAATATTGGAAGGTAATTGTTTTCAGAATAGGTCTTAAATGATCTCCACAACTAATACTCTTTTGAAGGGTAATTCTCCACCTTATGCATGTGACAAGATAGAATCTGGACTGATTTCCTATTTAATGATAAGTAATATAGGTAATAGATAATTGATCTGATAAATGATTAATCATAATGAATAATCACTGGGTTTTGGATGATAAATCAGCCATGTGTTTGAAAGCTCCGTCTTGTCAGAATATACATTTAGGTTTGTTTGTTTTTGCTTGAGTGTGACGTGCAGAGGCCGCATCATCACTTGGTTTGGCCTTCGGAGCATGAGCCAGCTAGATCAGTGAGAAAGAGTAAAATTTCATAGTTTTGTGGTTTAGTTTACCCCCAGTATATTTGTTATTTAAGTGGGTAGGTAGGGTATTTGAAGCGGTTTTTTTTTTTTTCGGTTGTTGAATTATTATATGGCTTTCAGTTGAGAATTCATTTTAGGTCAGTTTGATATTACAGATGGAAATTAGTGAAGTTGTAAATTGGGATATCTTATGCTGTCCTTATTTTGTTTTATGAGTGTATGTCTATGTGTATGTTCTCTGTGCATTCGTGCATACATACATTTAGGGGTGTGCACTTCTATTAGTTGGTGTGTGTATGTGTGCATTTATGCCTGTACTTGTGTATCAGTCCTTTGTATGTGTATGTCTGTTTGTGTGTCTGTCTGTCTCTGTCTCTGTCTCTGTCTTAGTCTGTGTGTGTCAGGAAAGGGGATATGCTTATTTGTTCAAGGTGATGATTATGAATATTGATTTGTTTTAAGGTTCAAAATACTTTTTTTTATATAGAGTGAAATATTCATAAGCATATTTTTTCTGGTCCCAAATCTCATAAGAATCAAATATAAATGTGCAGTGATACTTTTCTCCTATTTTTTAAGAATAGTCTAGAAATTGAAAAGGAATGTTTATATATATATACTTTATTTTTTAAAATGAAAGTATCTAAGATAATTGAGATTAATAGCATACACTTCAAAATAAGTTTGCTCTTATTACCATTTACTTTGTTGCTTTGAAGTTATCTTTTGAAAAGTCACATGATTGGGAAGCCATTCAAAGTGCTCTTAGAGGTAGCAGTAGGGATAAAAGAGTATCATTTATTCATTCAAATATTTCAACTTCAGGAGACAACTGTAACGTCAAGTGAGAGCAGAGAGAAGACAACCTACCGGACTGCAACAGACTCCAGGAGCCAGGTTGCGACGCAGGTGGATGCAAATGGAGGCATAGGGGGCATCGCAGAAACGGTTAGGAACAGCGTGCTCGGGTTCTTTACGCCGACGAAAAATACCTCGCTGCCAGCCATTGTGGAATCGTCTGAGTCGGGATTTGAAGAAGGGAGTGTGACAGGTATTGTTGTTGTTGTTGTTGTTTCAACTGTTGAACTGTTGTAAGTAATGGTAATAATATGGAGTGTTTTAGATTGAGGTTTTCTTTTGTGGTCTAATGTTTTATTAAAATTTTATGTTATTTGTGCTTGGTTATAATTAATGTATACACACCTTCCTCCACCTTGCTGTACAATTCCAGATATTGCTTGTATAATTTGTACCAAACTACTCTATCTTGACAAAATATATTTGGAGGAGGTCTGTTGGCAGAATTGGAGAAAAAAACACAACCACCAGTGTGATAACCTGCTCACTACTGCTATGCATTCATAAACTGTTATCATTTTAACATTGGAACTGTAGTTGTAGATTAAACTAAATGCAATACAGTATTAAGTTTGCATACTATATAGTTATATGTAATGTAGGGCACTTATATATAGTTAGCAAGTGCAAAATGCCTGGGGACTAAATATTTGGAATAAAGTAGAAGAATCATTTCAATAGAGTAAAGTCATTGCATCTTATTGGTTGTTATGACAGACACATTTATGCTTTGAGATAGATGTATTAAATTTAGTAGAAATAATCAAAACAAAGCACATAAACATATTGATATTTTGTTGTCATTTTTTCCAAGTTTTGGGATTGCATTTCTATTTTATTTCAGTAGTAAAAGAGGTATTCATAACCTGGAGCTTATAATATTCATTGTGACTAATATAGAGAAGGTATGTATGAGAATAAATATCTTCACAGTACAAAAGATGTATTTGACCGGTTTCAATTATATCTTCCTCAGAAATATACGACAAAGTTATAATCAAAATCACTCAAATACATTTCTAGTATTGTGATGATATTCATTCTCATTCATTCCTTTTCTACATTTGTCACAATGAATATGGTTCATTATAATTTATGTTTTCATGTTAATTTCCATTATGGTTATTGACTGTATAACCTTATAAAGTAAACATTTTAGAGAAGTAGATTTAAGTGTCACAGTGAATTAGTTTAATATCATCAAAGATGTTATGAGATAATAATTACAGAATATTTTTAGTATTTACCCCAGTAAAAGAAGTTGTATTCTGATTTCTGTTAGAGTTTAGAAAGTATCAAGTATTGCTGTAAGTGCCTGTAATCTGAATTCAATATGTAATTATATTTGAAAACACTATAACTATTTGGCATGGTTTTATATTGGCACTATATTGGCAACAGATTTTTCTATATTTAAGATAGTTATCTTGAAGTGCACTTTAGAATTGAAAAGTGATGACAAATGTTTGGTATACTTCTGCAATGTTCTGCTTGATATCTTGACTTGTTGAAGATGAAATATGCACATAATCATACACTGACAATTGTGGTTTAGTTTTAATATTATTTGAATGTAGAAGGCATCAGAAGTGCTTAATCAACAAGTAGTCAATAACTAGGTCTACCTGACTTCACAGTCTACCTCCATTCCTTGAATTTTTGCAAAGAAGAGTTTGCTTGTTTTTTACTATTATTTATCTTCCACAAAAATTAATGAGTTGCATAAGAAGGTGAGATCAGGTAGGCCTAATAAGGGAATCTTTAGTGACTAAGCACTTTGGTTCGAACAAAATTGATAGACTGAAGTCCACCTTGGTGTCAGTGGGTTAAAACTTTGCTATGCTGGTGATGAATATGTGTCATCTGAGAAACTTCATTAGGCTTTCTTGTTTTATAAACACTGTTAAAAAAGAATTGATGACTCAAATTTGGTTTAAAATAAAACCTAATAGTTGAGTAAAGTCAGCTTGCAAATAATCTTTGATAGATAACACCTTACTTTTATATTCATAGAATTAGAAAAAAAATTTAAGGACATGTCATGATTCCTTAAGAATATATGTGAAGAGACAAAAAACAGCTGTGAAAATATAAAAATGATAAAGCTTGATACAGATATCTAGGGTTGCTGATAGCTTGTTTACAAACTACATGTACTTTAGTATTGTTAAACTTCAGTCTGGATATGCAATTCTCAAAAATCTTTTCAGGGTAGATAACTTATTTGGCTTTAGAATTTGTTACAACTCCTTGTGCTTTGCTTTCACAAGAAAAGAAGGAGTCTATCATTAAGGTGTTCTTTTCTTAGCACATTGATGAATTTTGCACAAGCGGTATTTTTGTGCGATGAAAGTGAATCCTGTAAAGGGAGGATGAATGCTGACCTTTTGACTTAGTATATTAGCAGACGGTACAAGAAAGCTTTTTGCCATAATTTTGGGAGAGTGTTTTCTTTCACTTCATTTTATTTAATGTATCTTTAAAGTTTGATAAAAAGAAGTTCTTTTATTACAATGCTGAAATAAATGTCATACATACTCACATAGTGTAGTCGTATGATTGGCAGTATAGGTAAGATAGGCTCTACTATTGAATAATGCTTTTGTCAAGTTTTACAAGACCCATTTGGTACATACACTTTTGTTTTTCTGTCAATTTTGTGCATTTAGATGGCTTCACAAGAGCTTAGCCACCAAGGTGTCAATTACTAGGCCAACCTGGCCTGATTGTTTATCCCATTACTTAAATTTTCATGGAATCTTACTGTTGTTGTTATTTTATTATCATTATAATTATAACGAAAATAATAATGATGATGATGATGATGATGATGATTTTTATTATTTTTTTTATAATGATGATGATGAAATTAGCTGTTCAGTGGTAGACTAATAGAAAATGGACCTCAAAGAATTATTAAATCCAGCTCAGTTTGATGGGGGGGGAAATATATAAGCAACCAAATAAGAAAGACTGGGTGCTTCAGTAATGATGTAAACATCTCATCCTTATAAACCATTTTAACATATATGATCTTCAGGAATGCAGACACGAATGAGAGCCGTTATCTTTGTATGAAATCCTCCTCCAATGTCAGTGCAGATTATCCATCCAGGTCTTTTGTTTGCACCAGTCATAATTAGAGTCTGCCATGTATGCTTTATTTATCTTCAAATTTTTTATCATGGAGAATGCGAAGTCAACACTGTAAAAAAGGAAATTTTCTGGATTCACACGGATATTGTTATCCTAGTGTTGTATTTTTGTCCTGACAGCCCCTCTATTTCATTATTTGTATGATGCTTTTGAATGTTGTTATTTTAAGAAGTATATTATGTTGTCATGAAGGGCACAAAGTTGTTTGCCATTATTTTTTCCACATAGGTGTATTCTTTCTGATGAGTCTTTTACCTTGTTTTTATTACTTCTTATAACAGGTGAAACGGTAGTTGCCTCATCACCAAACTCGGAGAGATTTGTGTCTGCCCGGGAATTCTTCGCAGAAGCAGACACTCGAGAACGTCTGACCAGCGACTACTTCAGTGGGAGTGATACACCATCAAAATTAAGGGTGAGTGATATAACTATGACCACTTATGTTAATTGTTGTTTTTGCCTTTGTAAACCAAAAGTTTCAGATATGAAGATATCAAGTATTATAATCTCTTAAGAAAATGTATTGAATTAACCAAAACTGATGTGATGTCTGATGTGTTTTATGTACCATGTATAAGTGATAATAATCAGGACTTTTAAGTATTCCTTATATTATGTGTCCCTTGATAGTCTGAGTGTAGTTAAAGAAAAATAAAACTTTTTAAGTTTTAAAGCCTTTAGTTGTTAAATATGCAAAGTAATAGTTGTGAATACATCTCAGTTGATAAAAGCATTACTCTTTTATCAGAACACTTCTATTCACTACTGGAGTGGGAGTCATAAGTATGATATTTTTTAAGCCCTAGACAGAGGCCTGAATTATCACTAATGAATTGATATTCCTCAACAGGAGAGCACTCGCCGTTTAAGCCTCTGCAAGCCAAACAATCCTTACATTGCATATTCGTCAGATGAAGAATTTGATGACTGGAAGTGAGTACCTACTTACGATTTACTGTACTTTAGTTTTATTTGTAACTTGAATTTAGAAGAAAATGAAACCAGTATGGAGTGAAAGTTTTGATGGATGTATTAATTGAACAGATTAATGAATGGATAAACTGATCAACACAGAGACAGACAGACAAACTAAAACATACCAAGAGAGAGAGACATATGGTAGATATAGAAACAGAAAAACACAGAGACAGGCACACAGAAGCAGAAACAGAAATGTACAAATACAGGCAATATAGAGGCAGACGGACCTTTTTAGTTATTCAAAAGAAAAGAAAAGACAAATGATAGCTTTTGAAGTATATATACTGGTAAGTACCCTTTCACCAGTTACTGATGGAGATGCTTCTGAAGTTGTTGAAGAAAACTTTTGTGTACAGCCTTAATTATTGAAGACCTTGTAAGTAAGTAGTTGCACCTTGTGAAGTGATAATAAATTTATGTAAGTGGGAAAATGAGAATGATCGAATAAAACTACAATAAAGGAAAAATGGGAGAATTTAGGAAATAAAGAGAGTATAGAACATTTAGGACATGAATCAAAGAGAGAGAAAAAATAGTAGAGAGAGAATTAGGGAATAGGGAAAGTGAGAGAAAGAAAATATTGAGAAAGTGAGGCAGAGGGAGATAGAGGAAGGCAGAAAGAAAGCTATGGGAGAAAGAGAAAGGAGAGAAGCAGGGAGAGAAAGGGAGTGTGTGTGTGTGTGTGTGTGTGTGTGTGTGTGTGTGTGTGTGTGTGTGTGTGTGTGTGTGTGTGTGTGTGTGTGTGTGTGTGTGTGTGTGTGTGTGTGTGTGTGTGTGTCTGTCTGTCTGTCTGTCTGTGTCTGTCTGTCTGTGTCTGTCTGTCTGTGTGTGTGTCTGTCTCTGTCTGTCTGTCTATGTACAATGCAGATATAAATGGTGTAGAATAATAACTGAAGATGGTAATGATAAATGCATAATAAAACATAATAAACCATTAATATCGAATAAGGTAAAGACTATGAATAAGTACATGGCTTATTGCATTAAACAATGATTTTAGAGAGTAAACAAGAGAGAGAGAGAGAGAGAGAGAGAGAGAGAGAGAGAGAGAGAGAGAGAGAGAGAGAGAGAGAGAGAGAGAGAGAGAGAGAGAGAGAGAGAGAGAGAGACCGGGAGAGAGAGAGAGAGAGAGAGAGAGAGATTTGAGGAAGGAAAGAGAGAGAGAGAGAGATTTGAGGAAGGAAAGAGAGAGAGAGAGAGATTTGAGGAAGGAAAGAGAGAGAGAGAGAGAGAGATTTGAGGAAGGAAAGAGAGAGAGAGAGAGAGATTTGAGGAAGGAAAGAGAGAGAGAGAGAGAGATTTGAGGAAGGAAAGAGAGAGAGAGAGAGATTTGAGGAAGGAAAGAGAGAGAGAGAGAGAGAGATTTGAGGAAGGAAAGAGAGAGAGAGAGAGAGAGAGAGAGATTTGGGGAAGGAAAGAGAGAGAGAGAGAGAGATTTGAGGAAGGAAAGAGAGAGAGAGAGAGAGAGAGATTTGAGGAAGGAAAGAGAGAGAGAGAGAGAGATTTGAGGAAGGAAAGAGAGAGAGAGAGAGAGAGAGAGAGAGAGAGAGAGATTTGAGGAAGGAAAGAGAGAGAGAGAGAGATTTGAGGAAGGAAAGAGAGAGAGAGAGAGAGAGATT